GGAATGGTCTTTGAAGACCCCTCCGCCGGTAAAGAGTCATCATCGGAATCTACACCAACTAGATTTGTGGGGTCGGAACCAAGCGAATTATTGGGCTCGGACACGAGCGTTTTCTTAGGAGAGTCAATCTTTTTCCACTTATTTTTGGCATTGCCACCTTCATGAGCTTTGGCGATATCTCTTGTCTTGCCGAGTTTGAACTTCAAGGTTGTGCTTTTGACTTCTGAGTACATATCATGATCGGTAATCTCCGGAGTGTACAAAGAGCCATCTGAAGAGGTGGAGTTAAGAGAGTCCTCGTCATTGCAATTATGGAAAATCCGATTGGCACGACGTTTAACACGCTTGGAAGGATTTTCTACTTCCACAGATTTAATCCTCATTGATGTCGGCACAGTCGTCGTTTGGTTCATTCTATCGCCAACGTTATTGCCTTCAGTTTCGCTGGTCATCCCTTCAACATGCATGGCTGATGGTTTCATTCGTTGTCTGCTGCTTACGTCAATTTTAATCACATAATTGGACGGTTATGAACCCAACCATCACATGTGGCGCATGATTTGTCACAGCAATTGCACCAGCCGGGAGTGTGGTGTAGTGTAAAGAAGTAGGCAATTACTTAAGTTCAATTTACGTTAACTATCACAAAAGCAAAGAGGAAACATACGAAGATGGCAAGAGAAAGGAATGCAGGAACTGAATGTAAGAAATATCATAGTGAGAATCTCTGAAGATCGAGTTTCCTAATCTTTATTCTGTAAGTTTCCATGCTTACCTCAATTAGTAGATATTTTGTAAAGTGATCAATATGTACACTTCACGAGTCACAAAATCAAAGGAATTGAAGTTGTTACTCAATGGTGGAGAATCACGTAATGGGCTAGGTTCACAAGTGAAAGGGAGGCTTTGGTTTCCCTGCATTAACGTTGGAAGTAATGGAGATAGGTGGAAAATGCCTTAAGGTCGGCCAAAGTCAAAGGCCATGCATAGTTCGGTAATTTAAAAAAAAAGGGATATTCACAGGGGTAGGCATGCAGGGAATGTTAGTTGCCAAATTAGAGGTGAGAATGAAGGATTTCAAAGGAAAAAGCTTTAAAGAAAATTAGAAACTTACCAATTTTGAGAAGGATGATGGAAATCGTCACAAAGTGGGAAGGATTTCTTCAAGTAATGAGGCACCTGTGGATTTTCCAATTTGAATTTATAAGGAAGTTGTTCAAAATTGTAAAAGTAATGGGAGATGATTTTCGGCAATAAATTTGCATATACGTTCAGAATATTCATGGATTCTATAAATGTGAGCCTGTCGCAAACAAGGAAAGAAATAATAGAAAATCTTCATCAAATCTTCGACATTCATGGTATGTTGGAAGGGGGAGATAAAGTTCGGTAAAGAAAAAGAAAAAATTATGGGCAAGTTTTAGTCCCCTTCGCTTGGCGTGCGACACTCGTGGACTGGGGGGCTGATGTTGGGCGGTATTTCCAGAATCATTAAACATGCGATAAATTCAAAGGCTCGTCCGAGCCCAAGCTCTCCCGAGCCCAAGCTGCCCTGAGCCCAAGCTCTCCCGAGCCCAAGCTCTCCCGAGCCCAAGCGCTCCCGAGCCCAAGCGCTCCCGAGCCCAAGCTAGCCCAAGCGCGCCCGATCCCAAGCTCGCCGGAGCCCAATCTCTTCCGAGCCCAAGTTCGCCAAAGCCGAAAGTTCAAAGGTTACGTGATGTTATCAAGTGAAGTAACTTACGCTAATTAAAGACATTGAATGGTTGAAAGTTAATTCTCATTGATTATTTATCAGTTTTTACTCACAAAAAGGTGAAGAGCCTTATTGTAATTAAGAGAGAATAAACTCTCGAATTAATGGGAGAATTAAACTCCATCAATCCTAATGTACTATAAATTCTCTCAATTTGAGAGGAAAAGAGAGACACTCATTTTTCTGAATACAATTGCCTTGTGATTGTCTTCATTTTATTATTTCCTTCACAGGTTCTTTGTGTTATTTACGTGTTCTTCCAATTTCCTTAGATAATTTGCTTACTCAATTCAAATTATTTGTCTAGGGACGTTGGATAAGGGATGGACTGGGATTGGAAACTTTGAAATTTTTTATTTTGGTTTAACTTTATATTGAATTTTTATATTATTTTTTTAGTTTAATTTATATAACTTCGTGGATTCTAGGAATTGATGTGGAAGACATTGGTTTTCTAAACACAAAGATTGGAGCAAGGACTGTTCGTGGTCAAAGAACTCAAGTTATCATCCGAGTCGGCTTCCAGGTATTTTTCCTGATTGAGTTCTTGATATATATAAGTTAATGAGATTAATTTATTCGTGTATAAATTAATATAATCTATAGAGTATCTCAAAAGTTTTATGAAAATTTTTGTTATACACGATCCGCCTCTTCCCCGCACCACCGCGCTTCCGCATCCGAATTTGATTCGGGCAACCAACATATTTTAGGGTTGAAATTCAATTTTTTCCGTTGGGCCCAACGTGTAGCACGTGACGTGCCAAACGGGAGGCACGTGACGGGCCAAATGGGAGGCCCGTCACATGCCGAACGTTGGGCCTGCGAAGGGCCCACTGGACCAAATGAAATGGGCTTCTTCATGGGCCGTTTCGCGGGCTTGGGCCGGGCCGAATAAGGGCCGAATCAGGGCTTGGGCTGGGCCGAATAAGGGTCGTGCTGTGGACCTCACGTGCTTAGGCCGTACTTGAGCCGCGGGCTGAGAAGTTGAGCCCCAGCCCTAGTCCATTACACGTGCCGTGCCGGCACGGCCCGTAACAGTAACGAACCGGGCCGTGCCGAATCAGGCACTATTATGGGCTGGACCGGGCCGTCCATGGACGGCCCGGCCCATTTGACACCTCTAGCCAAGTGGCAAGCACATGGAGGCCGGTGCCCTTTAACTTTTTTTTTTTAATTGCAGCTCTCTATTTAACGTGTTTTAAAATGTAACAGCTAGCGACACATTGCGTGTAGTTGTTTATATATTAAGTGGGAATGTGCATTGTTCGATAATTATTGATATTAGATTTTGTACGAGGCCCATATAAGGTGTTAGGCCTAATCATAACGTTGCGCGACGTTATTGGGCTTATTTTATGAATCCAAGCCACGCCTGAGAAACTCTCGCAGGTTGTGGTTTAGTGGTCCATGTGTGATTAAGTAGGCTCATTTGTCGTTTAATTCAATCCATATTGAATATCACTTGGGGGGTTTTCAAAATTAATCGGATTAAATACAAATGGGTGATGGAGACTTTTCCAAAAGCCTTCCACCCGTCCTTTTGGAAGCCCAAAATTCCTAAGTCTAAGCCTAAAAACATCTTCTTCTTCATCAATGTTGATTCTCAATGTTTTGAGTCAAATGGAGGCTCTACCCGCGCCGAACGTGCCTAATGGAGGCTCCCTCTGTGGCAGGCATGTCTCCCAGAGCATTCTCTTCATGTCCAAGTGTGCCTAACGGAGTCTTTTCCGTGTCATGAATCCTTCCTTTGGACTTCTTCTCGCCTAACTCACCATCGGAGCAGCCTTCACTTGAGCATGTTCACCCTTCGGAGCATCTTCACCTAGAGTTGTTAAATAGGCCGGGCCGTCCACAGTGCCGGATTTAGCACGGCCCGGTATGGTACTGTTACGGGCTGTGTTGGCCCGGCACATTTGATGGGCTAGGGCTGGGCTGTGGCTTCTCAGCCCGCGGCCCAAGCCCGTGAAGGCCCGCGGCCCGGCCCAAGCCCAGATTCAACCCTTGTTCGGCCCGGCCTAGGCCCGCGAAACATCCCGCCAAAAAGCCCTCCAGTCCGTGAGGATTGTGACCGTTGGGCCCGCAAAGGGCCCAGGTCACAATCTGAAAAAATCCCCCAAAATCCCCTATAAATATCCCTTGATCCCACACAACAATTCACTCTCAACTTCTCGTCTCAATATCATTCTATCTCTCATCTTGTCTCTTTCATTTTGATTCTAAGCTTTTCTCTTGCGATCACTCATTTTCTTGCTCTTTCATTTTTCGACGATGAAATGATGGCTCGGAATCTCACCCCCACTAAACCGGAAAATACTCTGGTTGATAATGATTCATTGAACAACGAGAAAGTTGGAGAACACAACAAGGAAAAAAGACCACAAACTTCTCTTGCATGGCAGCATTTCACAGAGGACCCCGACGAAATCCAAAAAGAGGTGAAATAGAAATCCGTGAGGTATGTAAGTATTGTAAAAAGTACTTTTCTAATAAAAAGGGTGGGGGTACAAGTCATCTGGATAGACATTGAAAAGCATGTCTATCGTTGCACCAAGGTGGGAGTGTGGACTCCCGCCAACAAACACTATCACTCACATCACAAGGGTTGCAAAATTTTATGTTGAAGATGATGCTTAAATAATCACTTTTATGATAAGTGGGGAGTGAGCAAGATGGTTGAAAATTAGAGCAAAAATAAATATATTTGTGAGAAAAAACACTGTAGTAAAAAAGTGAAATTTGAATTTTTATAAGAAAAAATACTGTAACAATAGAGCTTAAGTTGTGAAAAGAACAAGGCTTTAGTTTGAAGGTTCTACTACTTAAGTAGCATTAGAATTTGAAAGATGAGCAATCTCATAATTTGTATAAATAACTTAATTATTCCATTGCAGTGGGATAATAATTACTATTACTAGCACAAAACACTGGGGAAAGAATTTTTATTTTCAAAGTGAATGACATATTTGATTTGAAAATTTAATATTTAAAAACTAGTAGATCATTGTTTTTAATTCACAAAAATATAGTCCAAGGGTACGATCGAATATACCAATTACCACATGATCACCAATCACATGTAAAAAAAATATACATTAAGCATGCATAATCCAATCTATTATAATCCAAACCAGTACTCTTAAGCAAAAGCCTTATATAATATCCCAAGCATCAAAGACATCCATTATTTATTCATATATAGTACGGATATAATACCCTTTCCATAAACAGTGGCAACATGCATATATCACGATAATATCAAACTAATAATATCTCCATAATATTTGAAGGATATTTCAGTCTCTCCCAGACACTGGTTCTTTTCCTCTCTTGTCCAACTCTGAAAAAGAACGTATGCAATTAATAAATTCCTAATATGAAACGCAACAAGAAGAATATTTACAATAATCCAGAAATGGTATAAATATATATATATATATATGTATATGTAATACACACATACATACCTCAGTCAATTTGTTCAGCTTGTCCGTGACATTCTGCAACAGTTGGGAAACCTCACCATCCCATTTGTAAAATTCCAACTCCTTGTTGTTCATTATCTTCTCAGATAGCTGAATTACTTAAACGTCATTTTATTTCAGAGATATAATTACATGAAAAAGATCACATAGCTCATACTTAAAAGATTTCAGGTGCAGATTATTAACCATTTAATTTTACAAATCAATATCTAAGAGCATATATTTAAAACTATTTAAATATATTTTGTGGGTAATGTGTTTAAGGTGACACACACAGATTTTTATTTCTTGATCTATTTTGTTTGTAGGACTTCTATGACAAGGAGTTCTTGACAACAATGGAGTGCATTTCTAAAATATCATAACAGAAATAAAAAGTGTACAATTTTAACAAAATTTTACGAATTACGGTTTAGAAATATATATATATATATATATATTTAACAAGATTAAATAGTGCACAATTTTATCAAATTTTTACGGCGGTTAAGTGATATTTACTACTAGCACTTCTTTTATTTATTTATTTATAACCTCATCACACAATCTCACAAATGACTCAAAAAAAATGAAAAGAAAAAAAAAAAACAGCATTAATCGCATACCTTTTTTGCCATTATTCGACCACCAGCAGTATGACCAAAGTACAGATTGTAGAAGTGACACAGAATTAGATGAGAATCCTTGACTATTGATAATTCCTTGAGATAATTAGCATAATTAACACCAAGGTCAGAAGGTTCTGGTAAAACATGGCCTTGATCTTTGATCCACTCCAAATCCTTTGCCAATCTTTCAGATCTTTCCAATCCTGTGTTTCTCAACTCAACATCTAATAAAACAACACAACAATCAAAGGAGTTAGGAAAATAAATAAATAACAACAAGAATAAATGGATGAAAACTGAAAACTGCGCGTGTTTAAAATTTTTAAGAAACATCAAACCAAACTAAATATATCCATGCGTTTGTTTAATAGGTTCCAACTACTATTTAAATGTACAAAACTATGAAGTAAACGAGCACAATGTTACATACAATGCTAGTAGATTGTAACGATTCTATGAATTATCACATTGAATGAAAGAAAATTTAGTCGATTTAGTTTGTTTTGACAAACATTTGGGTTGATCTTGTAAGTTAACTATAAATCTTTTAGAGCTTTTCACAAGCTAAAGCTTTATTTCAATTACAAAAATATAAAACAATAATAAACTATAAGAAAAATTAACATGTATTAAACTAAAGAGAAGTATGAGTGTGTATGACAAGGGAAATATTTTTTTAGGAGATATTGTAATAATATTTTGGTCGATTTTCATAATCTGAAATATCTGAAACTCCTACTAAATTAACATATGTTGAAAACTGAAAACTGATAAAACCAAGCGAATTAAAAATAACAAATAATTATTGGTTTGATTCAGATAATTTCTTTTGATCGGTTATGCGTCTAAACACCTTGCTCAAAGAGACAGTCATTTGAGGAGACTGTGATTGTGCCGATTCTATGAATTATCACATTGAAAGAAAGAAAATAAAGTCAACTAATCATATTCAATTGAGTACAATAAAAAATAAATGGTGTGGATAATATAAATATATATATATATATATTTATGGTGTGGATAAGATTAGATCTTATGAAATTTGCAGTGATCCATATCTTTATTTTTTTTTTGGTTCCCAAAAAAAATGTTTATTTTTTATGTGATGATGATCAATAATTAATGCTTTATAGCACTCAAATAAATGAAAAAATGTTAAAATATCCCGATCTTCGTCACAATTCCCGAGTAGTCCAACTAAGTTAATAAGGACTAGCATCTCAAGTTCAAGTTGCTTTACTATAATTGTTAAGTACATGCCAGTTTAATATGTTTGGAATATATATATAATACGTGAATTAAGCCAGCCAGCCAAAATCTAGCGCAGGTTGTTTAGATTCTCTTTTCTTGTATATAATATAATATTTTTCTTCTTTCTTTACAATAAGTGAATAAAATATGCATCGATAATATAGTTGCAAATTCTTAAATCACATTATATTTTATTTACTTCTATGGCAATTCTAACATAACTGTTTAGTACGTACAATGAAAAATATCTTTATCAGACATCGTCATAGTATCTATATCAAACTCTTTATAACTTTTATTAAATTATTACTTTTTTCTTAAGAGAATTCTATGAAAGGAGGGCTTTTATGGTTGGGGTATCTATTATTAATAGTGTATGTCTTAAAACGTTTGATATGATCAAAACAAAATCAATATGAGAAAACATAAGAGAATTCTATGACAGGACATGAAAAATATCTTATCAGTAAGGCTCTGTTTTATAGCATCTTATTTATTTATTTTTTTTAAAAAAAATTGATATATATATATATATTTAATGTAATTTTAATTAGATCTGAAATGTGCACTAAACAAGGATTCTTAACTACCCTAGAAAGTTACCAAAACGTAAAACATATTAATTTACATTTTAAAATAAAGTCTTACTGGAAGTACCCTAATGATAGATATTTCTTTTTAAGAAAAACAATAAAATATATTAAGACCACCATTAGTACTAAGCATACTCTTGTATTGAAAAACCTCCTATATATCTATTAATGTATAATGTCCAACACCACCAATAGTTCTTAATTAATGTGGCTCCAAGAAAGCAGGATCCCGGAAGATCCCCTCGAGTGTGTCATAAACAAGCTTTCTATCAACAAGGAACTTTAGGCTCCCATCAAAGGTGGGTTCCCACTTTGCTACGTGTCGCTCATCAGAGGCCAACATGGAAAGAGAATGATGATGACAAGTCGGTGGTATTTGGAAACTGGTTTTGTTGGTGAAAGGTATAGATTGGGATTGCAAAACTGAGGTGAGAGAAGCCATGATCAGAGAGACAGAGAGAGAACTAAACCGATGAGAGTTGATGACACTAGAAGAAAATGTGGATATGATGACCGTTTTTAATTGTCGTTTAATCTATTTTTAGTAGTGTGATGAGAGTTTTTGTTTGGAGATCAGTTTTCAATTGTCATTTAATCTGGTATCTTTATTAGTGTGATGAGAGTTTTTGTTTGGAGATCAATAAAGGGGGTTTGGCTTATAAGTTCAAATATGTACGGAGTAAATCAAAAGACACAAATCTATAAATAAGAGTTTGTTAAGAACTCAGGATTAAGATCATTCTATATATGATCATCGGTAGACTTAATTAGAATTTTTATACTTAACGAAAATTATTAAAAATTCATATTGTGTCTGTGTCTCTGTTCCCCATAATCTCATTTTGTGTAATACACTCATTCAATATCTCGCTATATTAACAGTGCGGATAACAACGTTCTATTCTAAATGGTAATGACATGTATTAATAATGTTTTAATTAAAGATTCTAAACTTTAATTAAATTCATTACAAACATCTCTTTTTGATTATTATCCTTAAACATTATCCTCTCACATAAAACACTTATATACAATGTTTAGGGTCCCATAAATAATCATGGAATTTTCATTGATATCCATAAAATATTCACAAATATATACACATAAAATGATGAATAAACCCTTTTATTAAATAAATAATAAATATCATATCACATCTCATGCTTGTAGGACACCATTCCCAACATATACATGTGCCGCTCTAATCTAATATCGGATTGGAGACTTTACCATTTTTTATATAGAAAGGCGAATGAGGGGTTTGAGATTTTGCACTTGCTTACTTGCTTACTTGAGTTTTTTCTTTTTTTTTTAATGAAACATGTTTTTAATTATCTCATCAAATTCTTTGTTATTTTTTCAAAATGGATGATATATTCAAAAATATAAAAAGGCATTCATATACATAACCTCTACTTAGGAAATATGGTACTACAAATAATTGGTTCCATCAATAAAGTCGAATGAAGCTCAAGGAAAAATAGCATGTACCCGACTCCACAAATGAAAATCACCAAAAGAAGTATACAAAAAATCGAGCACACACATGGCTCTTTAACAGATCCTCTACAACTGACGGGAACAATTCGATCAACTGATGTTGAAAAACTCATAGTACAAAGGCTAGACAAAAATCGCAAATAAACATATCTTGCGGATGAAAAAAAATAACCTAAACTAATCGAGATAAGAATCAGTACCGTTATTACAAATGGAAAACAAAACAATCCGCAAGTTAGAACATCAAAACACTAAAGAGAGTAAGGCCACACAAAACCAGTGCAATAAAATGGTAGAAAAGACACGTGGTTGGTAAACACACGAAGGCGATAACCAACGTGTGCACTACAAGGCGCTCTATATCTCTCGCAGACCACAACCTCCACAAGGTAGGTCGAGACCATAACCAATGAGTTAAAAAACGCCTAAAGTCCAACAATGATACCATCTCTATTTTAGATTCGATCTGACAACCATCTTCCTTTACGAATGGCACAAACCCCACTCTAAACTGAGCATCAAATGATGAGCTTGTAAATAAACTTTGGTGACTAGAGGCCTGAGATACACTTAGCTTTTAGCCAAGGAAGCTTCTCTTTTTTCCCTCCCTCTGTGTTTTTGCTAGGGCTGCGTTTGGCATGAGACAAATTTCTTTTTTTTTTCTCCCCTCAAATTATACTATATACCATAGAAGGCACCGAGTTTACTATTCTTTGAACAATGCCCTGTCTTTTTTCTCCCTTAATTTTGAGAAATTTTCGTGTCCCCTGACTTTCGCTTTTACTGTTTTGCCCTTGGTTTCTTATTTCTTCTTTGTTTTTTGTTTGGACGGTTTCGTCTTTTCTATCGAACTGAAGTTTCTAGCACTACAAGAAAAATCCTCTTCAATGACGAAAAATGCTATTAAACCATTAATATAGCGTTTTACAATGCTAATTTAACCGACGCTATTAAAAGTCCATAGCTATTATAGCGTTTTTTAATTACTGTTCAAAACGCTATAGAAAGCTCATCTATAGCTTTTTTTGACTAGCTATGTTTTAGTTTCTATTGCAGTTTTTAATGGCTATCAAGTATGTGTTAATTTTTAAAATCAATATACAAGTTCATACATCTTGGTTAACTATTTGAATTGCTTATAGCAAAAAATCATTTGACAACTATTTCACGTATTAAAATTAGAACTTCAAGTGAATAATGCACTAATATGCTATTATATATGATGCTAAATTTTAAAAGTACACCAAATAGTCAAATACCACCTTCACTATATAATTCACTAATCCATACAATAAGGAAAGTAATCAATCTATACTACGGTTTTCTACTTGCCAACTATTTGTTCACAATATATGACGTTCGGAGCAATTCTAGAAAGCGAAAGAACCAAAAGCTAGCTAGCTATTAGAGGGAATGTGACTAGTCGTCAAATTTTCCATAAGTTAGAAGTTTCAAAAATCTTCATTCATTTTGTGCTCCAACTTTAACAAAACTCCATCCAACAACTGAACAAAGTATCTATTGACCTGTAGGAAATAACAAAAGCAAACAAAATAACAAATGAACACATGCTAAATCAAAAATCCAAAAAAAATTTCTAGGCAACTAGTAGAAGGTAAGAGCGTCAAATCCATAAGCACAAATAAATCAAATAGATGAGAACTCATAAAACGGGGGACACATTAATTAAAGCATCTCACAACCAAGACTTGTCCAATTAGTATGAGCAAACATGATTAGTTTCAGTATAAACTGAAGTATAAAAAAATTATTTTCTATATTAGAACACTTCCTTTTCACTTATAAAAAATCAATTACAAAGGAAAGAGAATGAGGAATCCTCTTAAAGCAAAAACATGAAAATAAAACATAAAAGGAAAAACAAAACATAAAGAAGGCTTAAAAGCTAACAAAACAATTAAATCCCAATACATCCTTCCAGTTTAACACTAGCAGAGACAAACGAAAATCCATATAAAGAAGGCTTAAAAGCTAACAAAACAATTAAATCCCAATACATCCTTTGAAAGCTAAAATATAAAGATAAAATAATTTTTGCCCTGCCCTAAGCGTTTGTGACTATTTCCACGTTACAAGCTCAATTTTCAGTGGGTCCACCAACATAGGTACTTGCTAATAGAAGAATTAAAAAAAATGCTACAATTTTTCTTTTCATGACTAAGTATAAGCATATATGTGTGTATATATATGGGTTGTCACTTTGAAAAAAAAATTTATATAATTAATAATATTATATTCTTGTTATGTCACTTTATTAAATATTTATATTTATTAAATAACATCAATGAAAATATGACCATTAAAAACTCGTTCATATCTTAAATATTCAATTAGATTTAATACTTACATAATATCTAAATACTATGAATAAGATTCAATTGTAATTGTAACTGACATGAGTAGAGATGGAAAACAGGGTGCGACGTGCAAGAGCCTCAATAAGTCTCACATTGATGCCGTGGATGGACAAATCTCGAGATTATAAACAAAGTTAATAGAATATCTTTAAAAAAAAAATCATAGAAAAACCGTTTTGAAAAATTTTCATTTCCCTAAACAACATAAACCCCGCAATACAAGCTATGATTGAAGACATTTGAGTAATATTTCAGCAAAACAGAGAATAATTTGAGTGACATGTATGATAAGAAATCAACTAATTAGTATAAAACTGCAGTCTTACAAATTTCTTTGCGTAACCTTCAGTAAGATAAACGAGATCTTTATTTGGACTTATCATTTCTCACTCCAATGGTTAATTATCAAGCGTGGGTTGACACTACTTTTCAATAAAAAAAGAGAAAAAAAATGAGAATCGCATTTTTTCATTTTTCTCTTATCAAACGTGGTTTGACACTTAGAAAATCTTATTATTATTTACTGTATTTCTTTAAAATATTATTTTTATCTCTCTGATTATAAAAATATTTGAAATATTCCATATCTGTGATCCTGAGTTATTTTATCAATATTTTACATAAAAATCAACTTAGTCTTGAGAATTTTAATTATTTTGTTGTGTTTTTAAATTAGTTTTATTTCATTTTATTTTCAATTTAGTTTGATTGTATTCTATTTTAGTGTATTTTTAATTTAATTTTATTTCAATTTCCATTATTTGCATATTAATTTTATTGAAATTTTAGAGAAAAGAGTGTTAAAAAAACAATACAATTCAAAATAGTTAAAATATAATATATGAACCAAAATAAATATCTTGTAATTCCGGAATTATTTCTAGCTGCTGGATCAAAGTGCGCATTGACAGCTAACATAAGCACGTGTACAACAGTCTCATATGTCAAAGCCAAGTGTAGTGATGTCAAACGTGTCGTGCCAGGCCGGCACGACACGCTTGACCCCAGACCCATCACAGGCTTGGGCCGTGCCAGGCACGGCCCTGCACAGTGCAGGGCCATGCCTGGGCCGAGCCTGAGAAGAAAAACTCAGGCCCGGTCCAGGCCCTTGGCCCTAGTCCATAAGGGCCAGGGCCGGGCCTGGGCCCAAGCCCTTCACGGGCCGGCCCCGGCCCTTGTATTTTTTTTAAATTTAATTAAAAAAAATATCATATACCCCAAAAGATGTGATTTTATTGAATTGACGTAATAGGAGTACACATAAATGACTGCCTCGTTAAAAACCTTGCTAAATAAAACCCATGGGGAGATCGGGACAAAACCTTAGCGAAGGAAAAAAGAGTGCAGTAGCTAGGAATAGTAAATTACAAACCTAAGTGCTTCCAGAAGATTCTGTTATTTCTAAGTTAGAAAAATATTCTTGCATCGAATCATTTGTGTATTGTTGTTTTCGTCTTCTGGCATCTTCCCAGTCTTTAATGCACATTAGTCCCTCCAAGATATCTGGATGCATTCTGCTTCTCTTCTCGTCAAGAATTCGGTTGCTTGCGCTAAAAGCTTGCTCCGATGCTACCGTTGACACTGGAGTTGTCAGAATGTCACGAGCTATTATGGACAGTGTTGGAAAACGATCTGTCTTGCTCTTCGACCACTATAAGATGTCTAGTTTGTCATCATCGATTACAAAATTTACTTCAAAATATTTGACTAGTTCCGTAAACGCTTGTGTTGAGGATGATCCTGCCGTTTTCTCTTTCTTCTTCAAGAAACTCCACGACGATCCTTTAGGCCC